CTTCAAAAGTGGAAACACAGTGAGCGCCAGGGAGGTAGAAGCAGCGGTGATGTCGGACGACGTGTTGGGAAGTTCTTCTGTAAACAGGACAGGGGTGCAGGCAGCCTCTGTGGCGCCCTCTGGAGGGGAGAGGAGGGTGCTACTAGGAGCTGGGTCCGCTGAAAGAATGGAACAAGTCGGTATCTCTTCATCTTCCTGGACTTCCTCATTCTTGCGGTCCTCCAACATGTTCCAGTTCAACCTCTTCTTAGCTTCTTCATCCACCCTCACAGGAGGGGCCCTCTTTCTTCGGCTACTCATGGTGAAGCTCTGCAAAGAGGGCAAATATTATGAAACGCTCACCAAAAAAAATAAACACAACGTCATTTATTTATTCATAACTACATCAGTAGCATATGCCAGATACTTATATTTATATTTGGTAGGCAGAGAGAAAATATCCTTCCTGAGTTTCCCTGAACAATGTTGACTATTGCCTAATAATAAACAATAACTTAATCATAAAAACTTTCCGTCATACAGACCATGGCTCCACAGTAAAGTGGTTTACTCATTCACCTAATAAGTGAAAGATCTATGGTTCAGTCTCCAGAGGAAACACAAATCCCTTTGGGGCATCCGGTTCAAAAAATCTGTCAAATTAAATATGCAGAGCTACAGAGTATGGCAACACCTGGTGAATAAGGGAGCAGCTGGAATATGCTTTTCTTTTACACAAACAAAATTAAGTAAAATCCAATTTTCCACTAACCAAACATTTTGTTTATTTACGTTGCCTTTTAGCCTATATCCCTCCTTAAATCATTACATTTTTACATGCACTTATGCAGGACTTAATATACTCTACTAGTACTCATGCATAATTCACATTTCAACTAAATCCATATTTATGTATTACTGTGCCCTGGTACAACCTTTTTAAGCTGACTTTATCAGATGACTTTTTCGGAAACTGTCCAGCTCCTGAGTGTGCACAGCATTAATCAACTGCTGGTAGATCCACAGCAAAAATAATGTTTCTACAAAGACTTTTATATTAATACTGTAGTATGTTTGTACATGCATGAATGCTTCTGTTCTCACAGCTAAAGCTTTGTGTCTAAGATGATCCTTTTAGAAGTAATATGTTGACATCATATAGAGTCCATCCAGCCATCCTCTTCCACTTATCCTTGTCAGGGTCGCGAGGGGCTGGAGCCTCTCCCAGCTACCATAGGGCAAGAGGCATCATACAGAGTCAAAAGTAGGGAAAAACCCCACTAGAAACTGGAGTTTTAAAAAGTTTAACCTCTTGCATCCTTGGGATTACTTGTACATAAGCTTTCTTCATTTTTAAAAAAAAACTTTTTTGTTTAAGACGAGCACCCATAATTGCAACAGTTAATTATAATAAGACCACTTCAACGACAGATTGTGGATATCCCTTGTGAGCAGTTATTATGAGGGTGGCAGCACCTGTGATGTTCAAGGATGATCTCTTATTCAGCCACGCTATTTTGTTTGGGGAGAACTTGGGTCCTGTGCAACTTCAGCATACCCAAAATACTCTGACATTAAGACACAGGAGAATCTGATGGATTAGAATTAAGTAACAAAGCTACCTTTAGCTGCTTCCCTATTCATGACAGCATAATGCCACTTTTGGCAGCTTTTATGCTGATTGCCCTTCCTGACAAAACCCAAATGTATGTGTGTCTCTGACTGAGCCAGGAATCAATATTGATCACACGTAAGTATTTCATTAAATTGACGTTTAGTCCTCTGATGTAGGGTGGCATGATGGTGTGGTGGTTAGTGACATCACCTCACAGCAAGAACGTTCTGGGTTCAAATCCAGTCTGGATTCTGTGTGGAGTTTGTATTTACTCTGGCTTCCCCCCATTGTCCAAAGATCTCCCTTACGTTACTTGGTGAATGTGAGTCTGTCTCTGTGTTAACCCTAAAATAATGTGGCAATCTGTTATACCCTGCTTCTCACCATATGAATAGTATAGACAATACAATAATTATAGTTCTACAATTGTTTATTAATACTCACAATTGTATATCTACAATATGTATAGTTTCATATTTTTAACCATATTAATATCCTTTTCATAGCCTGTACATAGCTTGTAAACTCACTATAGTCTGTACATACTTATAGTTATAGCATATTCATAACATACCTTCATACTGTGTACATTGTAACATACCTATAATAGTTCCATATTCTGTAATATATCTATATTATTGCTAAAGCACTTTCTGGATGGATGCAAACTGCTTTTCATTGCCTTGTACTTGTGACATTTGCAATGACAATAAAGTTGAATTCTATTCTAATTCTATTCTATTCCATGACAGCTGGGATAATCTCCAGAACTTGATAAGTTGAAGAAAGTGGATGGACAAATTGAATTCAAGGGCTGTTCCAATAATGCTGAGGCCGTTCTCCAGAGAACAATAGGTGGTGATACCATGTATGTTGATTTCTAATCCGGAAAATGACTTTAACGTGTCCACTTATTTAGGTTGGCACCATAAGCTACTATGTTGATGTTGATCCCAGGTAGAAGTGATCTGCCTTTGTAGTACAGAAAACTGAGGGTTGACCCTGAAGTTTCCTGGTTAAGATGAAACCCTGCTTCACAGTAAAGGCCTCTTATGGGATACAACAGACTTCTTATTTACCAACAGGTCAACAAGGCTCATTTGGGAGATAGCATATCAATGGAAGCAGCATGTGAGGTACTTACTGTGCTATTAAACTATCAAAGCGAAAGAGACATATCCCACAAGACAACCTGTCAGAGTTTAAGTTTGCATCCACAGCTGGAGCCTGTCACTTCACCTACATTGTATCTGTGTTTACCTATGGCTCAGGCTACATGTACTGCTAGCTGGCTAACGTATACATCTTCTACACGACGGCTTACAAATAGCAGTTTTAAAATTAGCTCCTTCCCTGCGGGGAGAGTTTATCCTCTGAGAATTCAGTCAGCAGCGAAACCATCAGCACACAACAGTCTGTGGTATAAACAGTGTTACACAATGAGAGCACTTTCGCACAGCGCGCCACATTTCATCCCCTGACTGCAAACAAGCAAATTAAAAAGGTAAAAGAAAAAAAGCATATTTACTTGTCGAGCCTGCCTCAAACTGCTCCTGTTAATACAGCACGACGAGAAACCGATTCATGTTGAAGCAGCTCCACACAATCCGGCTGAACCGCAGTACAGTTCATCTACGGACATCAATGTTGACGTCCGCCATTTTTAAATGCAGGAAATGACGTCAAAGCAGGGGAAACTGTCAGATTAAGTTTATCTAACACAAATTTGTATGACTCAAAACTTACAACAGATTAAATGATTTGCTCCAAATGATTGTTTTTTTGTCTTTCTTTTTGCATTTCTTTACATTTTTTCATGGTTATATATATATTGCCAATATCAGACAAAAACAGACAAAAACTGAGTTTGTGTTCGAGTCTAATGAGTTTAAAAGTCAATATTTGTATATGACCACCTTTATTTTTCAACTCAGCCTGAACTCTTTCTTCTTTTCAGTTTTCTTGTCATCTCTTCTACTACCACTACTTCAATAATGTTGATGTTCAGGGTCTTGAGGAGGCCAGTCCATGACTGATAGGCTCTATTGCATGTTTTTTTTTTTTCAGCTATGGTTGTATTGCACTGGCAGTGTGTTTAAAAATAATTATCATGCTGAAAAATTAAGCAGTTGCCAATAAGATGCTTTCCAGAAGGCAGTGCGTGTTGCATTAAAATCTGGCTGTATGTGTTTTTTTAATGTGTTTATAATTCCAGGAAATTTGAAAACTGGCTGGCTGAAATGTGGTCCCAAACCAAATTTTGCAAAAGGCTGTAAACACTCACTGTTGTACCACTCTCCTGACCTCTTCCAAACATACTGGTGCCGGTTAGAACCAAATTTCAAATCTTGATTCATCACCCAATTAGACTTGTTTCCACTGATTTTCAGGCCAGTTCTGGTGTAATTTGCCATTTTCTCCCCGTTTCCCTTCCTTAAGAATGGCTTCATGAAAATTTTATTTTTATTGTCAGTAAGACTATTTAAAGGATGCATAAAAATAATTTTGCTTAAACTACGGCTTGTACTTTACTTTTTCTTTCTGGCTCAAAATGACTTAATATGAATGATAAGAAACATGTTTGATTATAGGTCAACAAGCATTTCGGAACAGGTTAAATACCGGTAATCCTTTTTTGGCAGATGATCATTTAAAGCACTGGCATCTGATGAAAAGACAGGGAACTGGTATGAGGGCTGAAGAAAATCAGAAGCTCTGCCAGCGAGAACAGCAGGTCCACAACTCCACCTGAGAGAGAGGGAAAGAGAGAGCAGCAGGCAAGAGAAAGGAAAAGAAAGAAGTGGGAAAAAGACCAGGACACAAATTATACATTTTTCTAACAAGCTGCTGGTAACAAACTGCTTAAAGATAGAATTAAATTTGATTATTTGCTAAGTTTTCTCTTACATGTAGACACAACAGTGTTTCATCCTTTGAGTTGGGTGTTTTGTTTTGTTTTTTGTTATGCTTGAATGATTAATATGTAATTTTATGTGGCTTAGCGTTACAAAAAACAGAGATTCCTCTGACAATTCTCAGGTAAAAACACTGATTTGTAAATGAGCCGAAAAGCAGTCAATGGCCAAAACTACAAAAAAATTGGAAGCAAAATATTAAAAAAAAAGAGAAAAAAAAAAGAAAAAAGAATCACTCAGCATTTTTGCACAAAGCTGTAGGTTTATAGAGAGTTCATGCAATGCCAAATTCTTTGCTGTACTGGTTGCTTATTTTGTGGTCTAATCGTTAGGATTACAAAGGGAACCTCTAGGTTGAGTAAACTTTTATTCAGTGAGGTTGCAGCAGTGGCATCACCCCCTTCACCACAAGGTGGCAGCAGAGCCCGCTCTCTTTTGACAGCTGCAGCAGTGAATAACAAATACATCACATCTGTCAGTGTCAGACACAACGCAGGAGGGAAAAATTAAATTGAAGTTTGACGAGTCTCTTTGAAGTTTGCATAAAGTAAGCGACTGCCTATAAACAGTCTCTTACGTTGCGCTGATTTGGTCCAGGGGGTTTTAATGGAAGCTTGTCAAATCGTTATCTATCCCCGACTTATTTATTTATTTTAAAATATGCTTCTCAGGAGCCTCACTCTCACCCCGATCTCTTCCAGAATGTTATCAATCGACGCATCACTGACCCTCGTGATGTGCATGAACTCTGGTTTTAAATCAGGGACACTGCAGTGAGTTTGACCCGATTTAAAAATGCAGTGAGCAAGAGGAGAAGAAGGGAGCATCTTATCACCAGTGCAGAGAGAGAGAGAGGGAGAAAGGGAGGGAGGAAGAGTCCCACCGTGTTTCGGAGGCAGAAGAGTCCAGACCGGCGGCTTCAGAGGAGACACGGACCCACTATGTCCCGGTTATGTCCTTACCTGGTTCAGGTAGGTGAAATCACGTCTTTAAGACTGTTAAACATGCATGTGCATGCAGCTGATGATGTTGCATGTTATGACCTGTGAATGACACCGTTTTATAGCTGCAGCTGAGGACCTGGAGACAGCTGCTAAACGATAATAAAGAGTATTTAGGCAGAGTCATTATGTGTGCTGTTTGAGATGGCTCATTTCTGGCTCAAGCCATAGTGATTTTTGATTTTGATTTTTATTTATTTTTTGTCAAAATAGTCCAATACTTATTTCCAAAGGCTTCTTTTACTCACTTAACTTCGCTCAACTGTAGAAAACAACCACATGTATCAAAGATTTTTTTTAAATAATTACCATGTCCACATTGATCTTCGCTCAATTAAGTTACCCAAAAAAATATAAAATCAGAATACTTTAAATTTTTTCCATTACCGTTGCATAGCTTTATTCATGATGGATATTAATAGATATTAATTCATTTTTAATACTTGAAGTCTTTGCATGAAGTTGATTCCCTGAATTGACTGAACACCCCCCTTCACTGGCCCTCTACTCACATGACTTAAAGAAAAATAATATACCGTATTTTGTGCAAGGTGCAGACATGACTCTTTCATCAGCAGTTCCATGTTCCATGTTTTCAGTTGGTATAGTGAAACACAACACGGTGACTTGTTTACAGAGTGAACTGATATTTTCTTGTAATTTAGATCATACAGTTGTTAAACATATTAAAACTCCTTTTGTAACTAGCTTGTTGTCTGTGGCATGAGTAATGACTGACTTAAACATAAAACTGCCCTTACTTGTTACTGTACAAAGCAGTAATGCAGTGCACACACAATAGCATGCACATTGTGATAGTTTTAAATGTTCATTCACTTCTGTTTTTGCATTTAAACCCACTAAATGTCAGAAAATCCAACCAACTATTCAGAAGAAAATGTAGAACGAATGGGCTTTAAATGTTAATAAGTTCAAAATATAGCACTCATTATTTCATTTTTTGATAATCATGATGGATTTTAAAGCTGTTGAGAGCATTAAGCAAGCAATTTGTCCTGAAACTGACACTAACTTGACACTTTTAATATGAAGTAAGAGAGCAGTAAGTGTGAAAAGGATATTTCATCATCCAAATGATCGCACAGGGGTCTTTATCAATGACTGAAGAGGTCTCTAGCTGAATTACAGGATTGTAACTTCGTAAACAGGTCAGTTAAGGATGATTTAGACATAAGGTTAAATAGGGCAGCATAATTATGCAGCCTTTATCTTCTCAGTTCTAAGACCCTCCAGGGGTTAATGATGGGAATATGCAATGTTGTACATATATTTAGTAGTAGTATTTATTTATTGTCATTGTCAAGAACAATGAAATTGCGTTTGGGGCTTCCATACAACCAGGGTATTAAATCATAAAGTTACATCATTTAAAAATTGGACCAAATTTCATTAAAAAATGTTTACTATAAAATGTATTTATGCATACTACTTCAAATGTGGTCATGCAATTTTTAGATTATACATGTTTATTAACCCCGTGAAATACATTTGGAGAAAAGTCAAGTTAGATTTCACACACTTTTAATTAATAGAGATGAGACTAGTAATGGGGAGAATACAGACAATATTGTTATAGCGTAATATCCTGAGCTTTGCTCTTATTTTTGTCACGTCTCCACTTTGAAATGGCATCAGATATGAGGAATGAACCCGAGGTAGAAGCTCAACAAGCAGTCAAAGGTATAAATATAGAATCAGTTGAGATCCTCAACTAGGACAGTGGCAGCTGTCCGTGGTGCTAGAATTTGAGCATTCTCAGCTTTCAAATAGCTCTGTATCTTTAGATATGTACTTATTCCCTCCCAAAAAGTATTTGCCTGGTTGGATCTCCTGTATATTTTTACATTTTTAGCTATGGTGTGATTGGATGAAAGATGATTGATCTGCAAGTATTTTTTCTCCTACAGATTTCTGAAATACATGTGTTGAATTATTTAGATTTGTAAATGTAATAAATGTATTATAAAGCAAGAATTAACGCTCCATGTCTCATTTGCAGGGTGGAATCACTGAAGAAGATGCAGATGAGTTTAATTTGCTCGTAGAGGATTGATGGCCCTGTATTATGGCCAAGTGGACATGATTCTACATTCAGCACCTCTGGCACGATGTCGAATATGATTTACCTGACTGTCGTAAGCATTTTATATTTACCTTTTTTACTGTTCGAGGCATTCGGTTTGTCCAGAGGAAAGTATGAGAGGTCGGTGGTGCCAAGTTCTGCCTCTCGCCTGGTGGCGAGGATGGACGGGGATATTATAATTGGAGCCCTTTTTTCTGTTCACCACCAACCATCAGCTGAGAAGGTGGCGGAGAGGAAATGTGGAGAGGTCCGCGAGCAGTACGGCATCCAAAGGGTGGAGGCCATGTTCCACACTTTGGATCGGATTAACTCGGACCCAAATCTGTTACCCAACATTACCCTTGGATGTGAGATCAGAGACTCCTGCTGGCATTCCTCGGTGGCTCTGGAGCAGAGCATCGAATTCATACGAGACTCTCTCATCTCCATCCGGGATGAGAGCGACGGCTCCAGGTGGTGCATTGAAGGGGCGCCTTCCAGTCAGCCACCACCGACCAAGAAGCCCATCGTTGGAGTCATTGGGCCGGGCTCCAGTTCTGTTGCCATTCAGGTGCAAAACCTTCTGCAGCTATTCAACATCCCGCAGATCGCTTATTCTGCAACTAGTATTGACCTCAGTGACAAGACACTGTTCAAGTACTTCCTCAGGGTTGTACCCTCAGATACTCTTCAAGCCAGAGCCCTGGTGGACATTGTCAAACGATACAACTGGACCTATGTGTCAGCCGTTCACACAGAGGGTAAGACACTTTTCTTTATCAGCTGGGGGCTCACAACACAGCACTCTAAACTCAAACAGTACAGTAGTCTAATAAGAACCTAGCTTATTAGACTCCTACATTACCTATAATGCCACTCATTAGCTTTTTAAAAAAGCCCCTTCATGACTTCCTGTGTTTGAAAACACACACTGTTGAAACCCTACATCTCCAGTGTGTGATACAGACCTTCTAATACACTGTTTCGAGTGCAGTTTCATGAAATCTAGATTCATCTAGACCTACAGAAGTTCTAGATTAAATCATTTGACATCATTTTGGCAGGTTTTGCAAGCTTGAAAACTCTCCAAAAATGTTTTTACTGACTAGCTGAGCACGATTCAATTTGACAGGTAAACTGACCTTCATTTGCAAAAATGCTGTTCTATATTAATAGTGTCTGTTGTTTTTGTTGACCTAATGTATTTTATAAGAAACTCATTTCATTAGGCACACCTATTCAACTACTCCTTAACACAAATGTCAATTCAGAGATGATCATGATGACATGCTAGAGCTCAAAAGAACTATCAGAATGGGTAAGAAAGCTGATTTAAAGGTGAAATAACCACTCATTACAACCAAGGTATGCAGAAGAGCATCCCTAAACCTTAAAGCAGATGGGCTGCAGCGGAAGGTCACACTGGGTGCTATTTGTGTTGCCTTTGAACAGGGATGGCTGTAGTTCCCCTAGACTTTCCAAAATTGGGTTATAGAAGATTGGAAAAATGTTGCCTGTTCTGATAAGTATTGACATGTGCTACTACGTTCAGATGGTAGGCTCAGAATTTGGCTAAACACCACAAAATCATGGATCCATCCTGCCTTGTATTAACAGTCCAGGCTGGTGGTATGGTATGCTATGGTATGGAGACGTTGCCCCCCTTAGCACCCACTGTGCATCATTTAAACACCATGATATGGTCCTGCAGCAGGGCGATGCCACAAAGCTCAGTTCATCAGTGGTTTCTTGAACATCACAGTGATTTTACTGTACTCAGATGGCCTCCATAGTCACCAGATCTCAAACCAGTAGTGTGTCTTTGGGATGTGGTGGAACGGCTCACATCGCAGATGTGTGGTCCACAAATCTGCAGCTATTTCATGACACTCACGAAAACTAAAAGCAGTTCTGAAAGGAAAAAGGGGGTTCAATGGAATACTACCAAGGTGTAACTAATGAAGTGGCTGTGCTCAGTTTAAGTATGGCTTATGTACTGCTGTTCCAACAGCAGGTGGCTGCAGACATGATTAAAGCCTGTTTTGTGTGACTAATCCATATTCGTTCAAGTGGTGGGCAATTTCAGAGGAGAAGTGAGGTCTCTTTATGGTAATGATACCATTTGTTTTCATGCCTTAAAGATCATTTGAGGCATAAACTATCATTTTTGTACAACACTTGCTCAAAACACAACAGTCATCCCAAACTCATTTTTTCCAGGCATGTTTTTATAATCAGATTCTAATTACGTTTCCTCCCACAGTTTTTATACCCGAGACACGGTTACGGAAGCTGTTGCAAATCAGTTTTAACTGATGGAATATGAAAACAAGTTTAAAACCATCTGCTAAATCCAAACAAAAACCTGGCAAGCCTTCCTTGTTTACAGAAATGAATACCTGTTTGTCATTCTGTAATGAATTAAATATGAGCAGTAGGTGTTAGATGTTACAGAGGAAGCTAGATTACAGCCTGTTTATTGGATTTATGAGTGATGCTGCAGCTGAATGACTGCGAACATCTGGACGGACAACCTAAAAATGACAAGACTTATGTGAGTGCTCGTCCTCTGATGCTACTCTTGAGGTCACGGTTGGCCCATTTGCTCTAGTTGCACTGCTCTTGATTCCACAGCAAGAGGTCTGGGGACACAGTGAACTATTTAAATGTTAAAAGAAGAGTTTTTGCGATAATTTTCCCTCTGGATTATTTCCTTTAAAGAACATCTTATAGAATAAAACATGACAGAATGAACTTATGAATGAGAACCCTTTACATTTTCTTGTGAATGAGCCAAACTGACAGCTCCTTTTATCTTTCTCAGGTAACTATGGGGAGAGTGGGATGGAAGTATTCAAAGAGCTTGCCTCGCAGGAAGGCCTTTGCGTCGCCCATTCTGACAAGATTTACAGCAATGCTGGGGAGAAGCACTTCGACAGGCTGCTGAGAAAGCTGCGGGAGCGTCTGCCTAAAGCCAGAGTTGTTGTCTGCTTCTGTGAAGGCATGACAGTCCGAGGGCTTCTCATGGCTATGAGACGGCTCGGAGTAGCCGGAGAGTTCCTCCTAATTGGCAGGTTTGTTGGAGAATGTTTTCCCACAGGGCTTTTAGGTTTGTCAGTCGCGGTGCTCTTTGGAATAAAAGAACAACAATGACGAGAAGAAAATCTTTCTTGCTGATGCTTTTCAAAAGTAGCTGTATTTTTATATATCCACAAAAATCAGTCAGTATATCAGTTTAAATAAATAAGAGGCATATTTGTATGTCAGATAGAGTAATGGCCTTTGTGTTAATAATGCTGATTCCAATCCCAAAAATGTTAGGATGCTGGATGATTGGGAAATCTCTTTAACTCATATTTAATCCAGAATTGAGTGTAGAAAATATTAACTGTTTAAAATGACAAAAATGTGGCATTTAAAGAAAAAAATTATGTCACTTTGAATTTGATGGCTGCAACATATCTCAGACAAGATGCACTCAGAGAAAGCAAACCTCCCCCAAGGCAGCTCATGCTCTGGGCAGTATTTACATTTAAGGGACTACTACTATATTTTGTATATATTTATTTTGTTTTCCTTGTTTGTTTGTTTTTAAATATACTTTAAGACATTTGTGCTGCAGTTTACTTATTCAGAAACATTGTACATGTATTCAAATTGTTATTTAATTGGTTATAACCTGCTACTGTAATATACAAAATAGCGTGATGTATCGACTCCCTATACATCACTATTGATATGTTGCCAATATAAACAATGGCAGTAAGAAACAGTTATAAATAGCTCTATATAACTATTATAGTAATGCCTTGACCTTCAGATACATCTACTGACCATAAAGAGGAGGTCAAAGGTCAAATTTGACATATTATTTGAAATCTTTATATATGTGACACTTTTACGAATCATAGTTTCAAAGTTATAAGGCTTTTGTCAAATCATTAATTGCTCATGTACACACACAAATATATTGTGTTATTTAATTTAGTTTCGTAATCACATAATTTCCTCAAGGATTAGTAAAGCATTCTGATTCTGATGCTCCCACATACCATCAGAGACACAGGCCCCAAACTGAGCACTGATCATAATCCAGATGGTCTCGTTCCTCTTTAGTCCAGAAGAAGAACACAGCAATTTCTCCAGATTCTCTGAATCATTTGATGATATTATGCACTGTAAATGTGGAAATATTCAAAGTCTTCATAATTCTATGTTGAGGAACATTACTCTTAAACTGTTCTCCAATTTGTAGACCCAGTTTTGTTGCACACAGGTGGTTCTCTGCTAATCTTTGATATTAGGAAATGCCACCTCTCTGAGATGCTCTTTTTTTAATACCTTATTTTATTACTGATCTGATGCCAATTAACCCAATTAGTTGCCTTCAGCTGTTTTTTTAATTCCCTCTTACTTTTTCAGTGTTTTGTTGCCCCCATCCCAACATTCGACAATGCCTCAGTTTAAATGTTTAATGTTCCATGTTCGACGTGAGCAAAATATGGATTTATGAGCTCTGTAGATCATTGCATTCTGTTAATTACATTTTGCACAGCGTCCCAACATTTCTAGAAATGGGTTTTTAATTTATCCTCCCAACAGGCATATTGAAACTTCCATTTAATAGCTGTGTTTTATATCTCAAAACTTGACATTTTTCAATAACCTGAGGTGCTTGTGCCACATTATTGACCACATATTATCAAACCAAGGTATATCTGCACACATGGACCTTTACAAAAGATGCCAGTATGTTTTAGCCTTCAGTTTGTGGACTTGCTTTTGAAGCCGACGTGACCCATGACCATATTTGGAGGACAGGTCTAGGGAGCTATCAGCTACCATCAGTGCTGCCTAGTTACCTTGGTTATCAAGGAGTGCCCATAACTCACTATAAAATTTATATGAATGAAATATGGTACAACAAATGGCACCCATCTTTCACTCATAGTGGTTATGTCATAAATTATGCACAACTCCAAACCCTAATGCAATTTAAACGGGCGATTTCCATCTAAAAATAACACCTGTGCAGTGTGTACAAATGGGGAAATTTGTACTGCTGTAAATGCCGTCTTGCTCCAGCTCTGCTTTTTTTTTTTGGCACTCGGGATCATTTAGTAGCTCTTCTGCAGCATTCACACGCTGTCAGTCAAGATAAGGATTAGCAGTTTCCAAATATTTAACAACTATTCTTCCACAACACGTTTAAAGATTAAATTTAATGTTAATTTTTTACCTTTTAGAGAAAAGATGTTAGGCATCTTACTAGAAGATCCTTTCAGGAGCCCTTCGTCTTCTACTAAATGCTAAACATAGAAAAATGACACTCTGCTGACTGAAATATGAATGCTGAATTCCATGTTGTGACACTCAGTTGTACTCAGAATGGATTATATACAAAAAGCTCATATGAAGCAAAATATTCTTCCTTTCCTAACGGTAGCAGAGTTCCCCTGAAAGCAAGAAGATGCTTTGAGTCTGGCTCGGTAATGAATAATGCATTCACGCTCCCTGTCAGATCACAGGAGGGATGGGCTAATATGGGACAGCACCTCCAGCATAAGCTGGGGAAAGTGGAGTAGTGAACATCAAAGCTTATATCAGCACATATACCAGGCATTCCCTTTTTGTGGAGCCTCAGTTCACCTTAAGTCCAGTTAGCAGTTGTTGTAGAACCGACGCTAAAAGCCAGCTACGGCTGATTTGCCAAGAGTGGTTTATTAATGTTTAGATTCAAAGGAGTCAACCCGATTTACTTGCGACCCAAATGATGGAATAGGTGCATAAAGTTAAAAAAAATAGGACACATTAAAGCCTAAACTCGCTCTCACCCCTTCTACTTAAATTTGCACTGCTGTGAAAGTCTACACTGAAGATAAGGAGGGCGTGAGTTTGGTAGAGCAGTGTGCGTGTCTGTGCACACGTGTGTGTTTTCTGGGTCAAGGAGACTACTGAAAAAGGAAAATGTTTTTTAGAGCAATGCAGTAAGTGAACACACGCAGGCCTGTGCAGTGGGCAAATCGAAATGCCTGAGGTGCTGGTCATCAGCCATCCATCTTCTGCTGTGTGGAGGATGAAAGAGATGGCTGTTCTCACACTGCAGAACCCACACATCACAAACAACAACTCGTTTGATCAACTCTCCAGTGAAGCCCCCATTGTGTTGGAATTCATAGAAAATATCAGTTTTATGATTTAGATTGCAATGTTTGACTAGTGATCAAATAAATGATTTCATTAAAAAAACAGTTTGGCTCTACATTCATAGTTTTTCTAATAACGCCACTGTGCCCCAAATTAAATGATTCACAGACGTGTGAGCTCAGACTTGTGTTAGAAGTCTGTACAGTATGTGCGTGTGTTGACGTCAGAGCTGTAGGTTTTTGGCACCCAGAGTGTTGGACTGGGGGTAGTGTGATGCTGAGAAGCAGATGGCCAGGTACTGTTGATACTGTCACGCTGGACAACCATTGTCAATTTATTTTTGAAGCACCAGCCAAGCCAAAGATGCTGCTGGCTTTCGCTTCTTAAACAAAATGTGGGTTGTAGAAGTCTGGAAAGTGCTATTTTTGTCCTGTGGATGGGTTTGTGTAATATATACAATATTTTTAAATATTCTGTTTTGAAGGGTATTTAATTGTTTTTGACCAGATTTAAATGTCTGTTTAAATGTTAAAGCCCTCTTCTTATTGTTTCATCTTTTAAGGCCGTGTGTACAGGCACACAACACACGCAATGGTTGTGCTCACTATTTTCACTTTTATTAACAGTTGCACAACAAGAAAACAGTCTCAGTCCAGATCTCAGTCTCTCCCGCTCATCTCTTCCTTCACTATAAAAGAAACAGAGCCTGTCATCAGTCAAACGCCATTACCTGTCGCCTCACCTGCCTCACTGCTCCACTCCTCCCCTGCAGCTGAGCCAGGGACCACACCTCCACATGGTGTTACTCTCCAAAGCTGATGAGCTGACGACCTGCTGAAGTTCAAATTAAACATCAGAATGGGGGAAACGGGATTTAGTGATTGGTTTGTGGTGTCAGATGAAGTCTTCAGAAGAGCATCTCTGAATGCAGAACATGTATCTCCTTGAAGGAGATGGATTACAGCAGCAGAAAACCACGCAAGCTGGGCTAAGAGCAGGAAACCGAGGCTACGATTCTCATCAACAACAGAAAAGTGTTGCAGATATTTATCTTTTTATTTTGTTTTTATAACTTGCAAGCATATTGGAAATTTGCAACTTTGAGTTAGTACCAAACATATGTAAAGGCAGGTAATACTACTACTACTACTACTACTACTACTACTACTACTACTACTAATAATAATAATAATAATAATAATAATAATAATAATAATAATGATAATGATAAGACACCAAAATACATTTCTTAATAAGGTGTTGGACAAAACTAGAACAGCTTTGGCATACTTTAGCAGTGAATCTCAAAATCTGTAAGCCTGCTGGAGTTCTGTCTTTCCTTATTTACTGTTTTCATGATAGTCCAAAATCTCCCACAGGTGCTCAGCTGGATTTAAATGTGTTGATAGCACATTATTATTATCAAACTATCCAGTGACCCAAGCTTTGAGACAATAGCTAAATGAATGAGAACAATAAATATGTCACTTGTTCCATATTTCCAGTTATATTTGTTGTATTGTGAAAAAGAGCTCCTGTATCTGTCCTTGTGCAGCAGAGCTGAATCAGTCTGTTAGAGAAGGTGCTTCTCTGCCTGTCCAGTAATGAATCCAGAGGCTGGAAATGATTCTCCATGATGAGTAACTGCTTGTTAGTGACTTTCTCCCCAGCACAGCTTCAAAAGTGTCCAGTTTGCAGTCAATCCCAGACCCAGCTCCGATGCTGCTCCCCCAGCAGACCACAGCAAAGCAAACTGCCTTCGTCACAGATCTCCAGCATTTCACTGCACATGTCTCAGCTTCCTCAGGAAATAGAGCCTGTTCATCACCTCTTTGTTCACAGCCTGTATCGGTCTTCCACTTCAGCCCGCTGTAGATGTGGACACCCGGTTACTTGTTCTTCTCCACCACATCAAAATCCTGTCACAAGTTAGACACGGGTCATCGTTTTTTGATCACCACCTCTCTGATCTTATTCACATGTAGAAGCAGATGATTCCTCCAAGACTACTTCACAAATCATCCTCTCAGTAGAAGAAGAATTGGGTTAAATGCACTTGAGAAATCACAGAAGGTGATCTTGACCTTGCAGCTGTTTCTCTGTGTATGGGAGGAAGCTGTCTGCAGCATGTAGATGAATATATCACCTACTCCCCGGCTTGGTCTGTATTCAACCGCAGAACATCAAGAGATGTATTCACCTGTGGTCTTTTAGGTGGACCATCTTCAGTGCCATCATCACATGAGGTTGCTTTCATCATCAGGATAAACATGTGTCATCATAGGATACAGGTAATCTCTTAAAATAGCTGGATTGATTTACAAGCAAGTGGACCCAAACCATGACAGCAAAATGCTCTGTGCAGCTAATGTGCCACCAGATTCCCTTTCTTTGTGGCTAGAAGGACTGAAGGGTTGAAGTTTTTCTTCAGGTTGTCACTGATCTGTAATGTTTTGTTTTCCATTCAGTGTGTCGCTGCATTTTAAGAAGCTGTTTTTCTGTCAAATCATCACTGGAATATTCAGTTTAAAGTCTCTCATATTCCCTTTTCTCAGCTTTCATTTCACCCGCTGAGACGTACAATGCCACATGAATATATCAAGGACTTGATCCTACACTGCATAATGCTGCTATAAAACACATTTGAAACTGAAATGAATGAGAAATGGGGTTTTCATTTTTATTCTAATTTAAATCTGGAGCATCCAAAAGTCTCTTTTGTCTGCATGACCTTTTGCAACAGGATCAGATGCTGAACTGACTTTCAAAGTGTTGAGTATAAAGCTATAAATACGAGTTATGACCAGCTTTGACACTTAGGGTTCTAGAGTCTACGTGTTGGGTGGGAGTTTGTTTCTCTCCGGGGCAGATTGCAGAGCCGCAGTACTAATCTGCGAATTCTCACCAGGCTTGTGATTGTGTCTGTGGACTGAGGCTTTTTTCCCCTTCTTCTTCTTTCAGCAAGTACAGCGAGCACTCCACGCCCCTCAGCGGGGAGGCTGAAAGGGAAACAAAGTCAGGAAAACAAAAGGGAGATGTTGTTTTTCTTCAGGATTTAGTGTGCGCTGACTTTTGGAGCTCGGCAGCATAAAACAGTTTGTTATTTTTGTCTTGCCAGATGCTGACTAATATTGTGTGACTTGTTATTAAATTATAAAAATGCAGTAGCTGGAGATAACCTTTAGGGTTAGGTTTGAATGCTTGGCAGGTTTTAGGTTGTGTATTGATATTTTGTTGATTGCAAAAGATATTCCTTTGATAACAGAGCTTTAGAAAATACATCAATTTAACTGTCTCTGATTAGATCCTTCTCTTTCTCTTCTCTTTCCCACAAAAGAGATATCATTTATTATTTATTTATAATATTATGGGTTTTGAAAGGTCAGTAGGAAAGATTTTGCAATGCTTTAAGCTCTGACATAATTTTTAGACATACAATGCAGCAAGTGGGTGTCTAGTTTAAGTAGAAATGATTACAATGTCTTCCTTCTCTCTGCAGTGATGGATGGGCAGACCGAGTCGAGGTGGTGGAGGGGTACGAACAGGAGGCTGTGGGAGGCATCACCGTGAAGCTGCACTCTGAAGAGGTCTCCTCATTTGACGACTACTTCCTGAGGCTCAAGCTCAGCACCAACACCCGCAACCCATGGTTTCCAGAGTTCTGGCAGTACCGGTTTCAGTGCCGCCTTCCCGGACACCCGCAAGAGAACTTGAATTATGCACGGAACTGCTCAGGTAGCTAAACAACTCGTCAAGCAATTATGATGTTTTCCTGCTGTTTTTTTGCTTTGTTTAGGTTTTTTTTATTCCTGGTTTCCGTTTTTACGCCAGCGTGCACATCTGCTTGTCTTTTTCAACTGTTCTGATGCGTTCAATGCCCAAAGGATGATGCCAAAAGGGCCCCACAAACTGGAACACGCTATTTAAATATGAATTAGACTGCCAGAGGGTAAAATTCTCTCTAAGTCAATCCAGTAACACATATTTTTTTTATATTGTTCATTTCTGTGACACTTGGCTTTACAGAGGATGATGATCTAGGTAAACTAAATCCTTTCACGTATAACAGAGCTAATGCATTATTTGTTAATTTCTCGAAACAATGCTCAACAAGCATGTTTCCAAGACATAACTGTTTTATACACCACTCATATGTTTTTCTTTTTAAAATAAAAGCCTCTATATATTTACGTTTTCAATCTTAAGCTTTATGTTTTATGGGGATGAAGATGTTTCTCAAGCTCCCCAAATTTAAAATCAGTTATTTTAAAATGAGCCTATTTGAACATGTTGATAAACGTAAATATAAAATGTTGCATGCAGCAAAAATCAAAAAAACGTTTTTTGACTTTAGGCTATAAAGATACTTTTGGGAATTTGTTTTTGCCATTGCATCTTTTTTTTCCTTTGCACATTATTTTCAAGGATTTCTTTGATATATGACGCATATTTCTGCTTTTATTCATTTTTATGAAGCATCATTATTTAATAGCAGTTATTCACATAGGCATAGGTGGAGATATAGTGATTTGTCCTGTCCTGCAAACATTTGTTTTTTTGTTGTTGTTTGTTTTATTTTATTTTTATTTATATGTGTATCTATTTATTTATTTTGGTGTAGAACTCCAAGATGGTGAGTGAATACTTTTTAATGGAACCATAATGCTCCTCACTTTGGAAATATACATAGAGGTTGACTGATATTAAGGTTTTATCACATGCTGGGAAAATGTAAATGCATTGCTGATAATCTTTTTTCTTTCTATTACATTTCCAATTAATCTCAGTTGACCTCTAATATATGAAGCTATTGGGATGTTTTTCTTCCTGTGCACTGAAAGCTCAACAATTGGGTCTTATTTGCTCACACTTTGTGCTTTCCCACCTTTTCTAGCCTTAAGACAGTCGCATAAAACAGCCCAATAACATTTGAGTGAGATGGGAACTCGCTTAATTGCATGGAACTACAGAAATAGCAGTTAACATGCAGGTAATGCATACGCTGGGATCCATTTTCTTCTTATCTCTGCACAGTTTAATCCATGAAATATACAGAGAAGGTTCACTTGTCATGCAGCCGACTAATCCCGACGTGCAGCAGTAGGTCCTCTGCTTGCATGCTCGCATCATGACATCATTGCATCATGACTGAAGCTCACACAGCTCAGAGGAGTGCGGCGAGCGTCAAAGCGAAGGAGCTGTTAAACTAGGTCATCACCAGCAGATCCCATCGGACGCTCACCCAGCTGCTACCCAACTAAATTTACTGTTGATGTGTTTGTTTGCAGAGGCAGTGAGTTTCCCAGCAGTCCTTTTTAGAGATCATTACGTGATTTAACACAAGTGGCAACAAACACGTCAGCAATGGATGACACTCGCGAAAGCCACCACGCTGTTATAAATGTCGCGGGATAGGACAGAATAAATTCTGTCTCATGGACTGCATAGACTGACAGTATGGCTGAGAAAACATGCAACAAATGAATGTATAAAATGCTAAAATCAGGGCAAACACCAATCATCTGCATTCCTGCTCCTGAAGAATAATAAGTTGTTTCCAAAAACTCTGACATACCTGATTTTTAGGTTAAATGTTCTGCAAGCCAGTAAGAGATGCTCACAGCCTGATGAGCCTGACTTATAACCTATAACTAGTAGAAGTACTGACATTAGCTGACTCGACCTAACCTATTCCTTCTGAATCTGTAAAAGACCCATAGGGATTGAACAATGACATACTTTCAACCAGCAGTGTAACAGTAATGCTACTACTGCTACTATTAATAATAGTGGACGACATGAATTGCATTGTCAATTAACATTTTTTTTAACTGTACACATAATACATATATTATAGAGTGTGTTTCCATCTGAGGAGACATGCTGTAATTTTCCACCTTAAAGTGTCATAAAAAGGTACAGTGGGGCAAAAAAGTATTTAGTCAGCCACCGATTGTGCAAGTTCCCCCACCTAAAATGATGACAGAGGTCAGTAATTTGCACCAGAGGTAC